TTAGGGATGGGAAACCCCTTTTCTTTTCACATAAGCTTGCCTGGCTCAACGATTTTTAAATCTGCTGCTGCTAATCGCTTGCAACTAAGCAGATGAGAACGCGTCAAACTAACTAACTAATAGTTCTTTATAAGAACGGCAGGTTTATATACAATGCAGATTGATGAACTTACTTCACCAAACCATTTAATCTGATCAAATGTGGTTTACTCGATGTTATTTCCTAATATGTAATATCATATGTCAGAATCACATCGCAATCTCTCATTACTTATCGTGTCTTAGTAATTGGGATATGCTACCTTCTGATGATCTTAAGATAACGTACTTAACCTTACTGACCGTGTATGTTTAATATAACAACAAAAGTTAGTGGCAGAAATGCCACGCCTATGTGTCAAATCCATGCCGTCCTAGTCATGTTCCCCAGTTGGCCTTTATTGAACTTAAACATGCAGTGGTAAAACTTTTAGGATCAGATAGACTAAGTTTGTCATACCTACCCGTCTTGGTTGTGGTAGGATATCAAGCATTCTTCATCTCTGCTAGCCATGGAGAATGCTTTTTCTCCTGAGGTCCTCTTCGTCCAAATGTCTGGTGCACAAATATATATAAACGTTGAGAAATTCATAAAAAGAAAGACTGAAATGAAGTGAAGATGAACAATGTCACATATGTTACCCATGGAACTGAACCCTTCCTAGGAACGATAAAGAGATATCCTTGACAGGAAACAATGTAGTTTAAAAACAAGGGCAAAACAAGAGAAAACGCCCTGGCTGATGTTTTTCAATGTGGTTATATCAAGTAAGACATTGATTTAAAGATCTCCAAAGAACATAAGTTTCTTCAGAGTTAGTGTCATGTAAACTTTCAAAATTAATTGGGCAAGACATCTTATATGAGTATGTTTGCCTGTACGAACTCTATTTCCATTTCCTGTAAGTACGTATACATATGAACAGTATATTGATCAATTCACTGAAATCAGTTAATAACCCTTGGTTCCATATGAATTCTACGCATACGAGCTGTGACTATTTAACTTTATTCTGACCATGTAAAATTGATAGCCCCAACCAGGTATTGACTGTAGAATTCTTTTTGAATGTTTTGTGTTTTTGGAAAATCCCTCCATGTTTACATATTTTTGCTATGACCTGATGGACTTTTTCTCTTGACATTTTTGGTATTTTATTTGATTCCAATTTGAGAATTTTACCATTGTATATTGTTATTCTTTCTATATTTGTACTTATATTGAAGTTTTTGGGTTTGCTTCTGAATTGTACATATATTGTTTAAATTTGATATAATATGGCTACCGCCACATTTTTGGATGGACGCGGTGGCTGCTGGACTTAGTGTCACTTACTAGTTATTGTATTGGATACTCTGCGGAGTAATTTAACCCTGGAAGAAACACAAATACCGTAAGACTCTGTATTTCCATTTTATAATAATAAAGAGACGTTTTCTCCTAGAATTTTGCCCTTTTGATTTGGTCGGGACCCGGAACTAGGAGGAACGTACAGGAGTGTTTCTATTGGAAACAATTTGGACAGCCACTGTCGAAATAAATCAACATTGACGTCTTTTCTGTGCATGTGATTGAGACTTTTATCAAACATTTCATGTGTGTTTCCGATCACATTCCTTTCCTCATAACTAGCCTTATTTAACATTATTCTACAAAAACCAACGTAATCTTCATACAGAAACACTAGAATTCGCCAATTAATTACAAACTCATAATGGAATTGCTTGGAGGTTACGAGCATTTATTGCTTGACTTTTGCATCTGCCTATTTACAACACATATCGTGAACTTTATAGTTTTCCCATGGATTTATTGGGATAAAGCAGTATGGTATAGCAAATTGGAATAAAAATACAACATCACGGGATAACCAATGTAAATCCCGATAATCTAGAAATCAAAGAAAAGATGATTCTAGATGAAGAAGTATATTTATTGCTAGCCTCGTGATATCGAAATAATATCAAAGCTAGATGATGTAGAGGTTTTAATTGACTTCTGTATTCGGAAGAACAGTTCTAGAAGTCTAGATACGCGCCATCCTCAGTTAATCCAGCAATTTATCTGGATAGGAAACGGTTGTATTATTAATTAAATGATATAAATAATTACCTAAATATTACGCTGTTCTTTAACAAATTTAACACGATGTGTTTCCAATTCTGGAAGAATGCTTCCTTATAGGTCCGAAATTGCACCCTTCCAGTCAAGATTCAAGTTTCACCGCCAAGGGTGTCAAATGTGATTTGGCTGACTCTATAATTAAGTATCAATTTAAACAGCACAATAAGAGTACAAAAAATAGAAACTACAACAAGATACAAATATTAACATCACAAAATGGGATTAAACAGACCACCAAAATGTATCACAGAAAGAGTCAGTAAGAACATATTACAAATATATACATGGGGGATTTTTCCAATACAAAGCCTACAATCGAATTCTACAGGGGGTATAAAAGCGGCCAGCGACCAGCTAGGAAAAGAGAGGAGAAGCGGAACGGGTAGAACACGCTTGGCGCGCGAGAGATAGTCTTTAGTACAGATAAACAAAAGGAGTACAATATAACGATTATTGTCAGAATGAGGCATTGTAATAAATGTTTGTATTTCAGCAATTGTGTTTTCTTCGTAAAAGTATACCACTACAATGGAATGGACACGAGGCTGATTTTTCTGCAGATTTAAAGTCACCGTTTTAATAAAATATTTGAAGGGACTAAACATTCTCCTGACTTCAGCAAAATCTAATAAATTTTGTGAAAATAATGTAAAATTTGTTGGTCATAATAGCGCATCTAAAGAGACCGTAAACGGTTTCTACACAAAATTCACATGCAAATGAGCTGTTAAAGAAAGATAGCAATATTAGAATGTCAAATATTCCAGGATTAAATCGAACAATCTGATTTCATGGTTACATCGACCACATGCTTTCGGAAAAGTCAGCCTTATCGAAACATCTCACAGCGGCACCCATATATTTTGCTGTATATATTACCTCACCAAGAAATCACTATGGTTATCAGACTGATCAAGATTTTCAAAGCAACAGAGCCGGACAATATACCAGCTGAAGCAGTAATGTGGAACTGGGAAGCTGATTCGAAGATGCTCCATGTTCTCTGTAGAAAGATTCGAAAGGAAGAACAATAAATAACACTGAAAGGAAGGATACTTGATCAAGATATAAAGTAAGAAGACCTTGACAAGTGCTAGAACTACAGATGCACCACACAACTATAAGCACCTGCTACAGTTTTGAACAGCGATTTTGCATGCTGCTGAAACTTGGAGAACGACGTAAACCATTTATAGACAGTTGCTTATGCAAGGCACAACATATCCGCCGCCCAGACAAAATCAGCAACAACCAACTCTAAAACGGGTGGATGCAATAAATGCTGAAGTTGTGTTCACGTAAACCTAGTAACTGGAGTCTATTTTAACAGATTTAACAAATTCGTCGGGACAATCATTATGCCTGACTGTCGACTCATCGAGCACTCATGAAATAAATCTAATTTTTTGTCCGAAGTGGTTCAGAAAAATATTAAAACGTTATCTGATAGTTCAATGTAGGTAAGATATTTCGTTGAAGTATTTCATCATTAACTAACTGATAGGGCTATTTATTAAAACAATTGCTCTGACATTACTCGTCGTAATGAAATTAAGAGCGAACTAACTATTTCACCCAGATTACCGAAAAATTCAGTTCCTAAATTGCAACGATATAAGGTAGCCGACACAATGTCTGACAAACAACCCTCCGTAGTAGGCTTTAAGTGAACGCAGTTTCCAGGACACACTGATATCTCAACGATCCTAAAATTCTACTTGAAAAATACCCTTTCGCGGATTGTTTCTCCGAACACACTTACCAAGATAGTAGATAATTTTCTCGGTCGACAGCTGAGTCTTAATTGTCTAATCCCTTTCCTGAAAAAAGATGATAAAACCAACTGTCTAACCCTTTTGTCAGCGGAATCTGGGAGAATGGAATAACCCGCATGTCCGTAGGTGGTTCTTCGGATGCTGAATGTAATTGGTAATGTGTTCCACCTCGACTGTGTTACTTGTTTGCCCTATGAATCTTCAAGTTCTGTTTCCATTGTAAAAAACGACAATTCACAAGGAAGTATGACATTATTGTGCTTTTGAGATATTTTGACGTCTGTATTTCTAATTGAGCTTTGTTGAAATGATCCATTCGATTCTGCTTTCTTTTGTTTACCTCAATTCCTGTGAGATAATTTCATCGGGTTCTCACCACTTTGTATGGTTCTGCACCTAGGTTGGATAGTGGTTTGTCGAAGGCATTGTTATATTGTGACAGCTAGATTTTGCGGGTTACGGCACTAACGCTGCTCCGAACTGAAAACTTCACCATAGTTTCTAAACAACCCCTTAACTCAGTCAAATTACACACAATTAGACTAAGAATGAACTGTAGATTTCGGAAAGCTGTATTTAAAGCTTTCAGCATAATTGCATTCGGCTCTTAGATGTAGTTAACAGATAGGCGATTCTCTATCCAAGTACATACCACAAATATCAAGCAAAACTACTGGGTTCCGAGTTACAGTTGGATCAGCAACATAAGTTCTGTGATGTTTATCGATATGAATTGTCACGAGTTTCTTTGTTGTTAAATCGAATACTGCTTTCCTTTGCAATAACCCTTTAAGATTAATCTAGAAGCGAAGTGTCTGAATTCGAGTGTTGATAGATTTGTAGTTTACATAGTTGGCAATATTTATAGAGCACAGGTGTAAAATTTTTGCAAGGATTGTCATATCATCATTTATCAACCAAATTTGACAAGAAATTAAGAAAAATATATGTCTGAGCATCACCAAATACCTGAGAGGAGAGTATAGAAAAATAAATTGAATGATATAAGCTCGTTTCAATGATACCGAAGATATCAGAATGTTCAATGAACAAATGGTTAATTCGTGAACAATTGAATTCTCCTGCTGACTTGACAGTTGGGGTGCGGTTTTCAAGAAAAATGACACTAAAATGACCAAAGAGGACGGGGCAGGTCAAGCAATTGTGGACGAAGTTAATGAAGACTCTTCCCAACTCAAAGGGGAGCTTCCACATAAGATATCCGAGGTCATAACTCTAAAATCAACTAAAGGTGTGGTAATGCTATTCATTTGTATTAGGTTGATAAGTTTATAGGCTTAGTTGATATGTGGCGAGATCCTATCGTCCCTATACTCTTTCCGTAGTATGTTGTACTGAATTCGTTGGGCTTTTTCGGATCATGGTCTCCCATCTTCAACAAGTGATAAGGATATCTAGTACTTTCATAGGTAATACACTAACAAGAAATACGAAACCCGTAACTATTATGTCTATGTATTTTCGGTTACGTAACGTTTCGAGAATAGACTCAGCTACCAAAACATTTTCGAATTCGTCTCATGCAGGTCAGTACAGTAAACTATCTTAATAAATGTGAAACGCCCAGCCAGTCGCAAAGCATCTCGTGTTAAGATTAGCTCCACCTACCGGTGACCTAATATGCCAAGTTCATCTTGGAATTAGACATAATGTGACAAATATGGAAATAGTCCGCCTTCACTGTACAGGGGGATCAAAGTTTTTGTTGTTCCTTGGTCACTCTAATTACAATGAAAATCCACTTGTGAACAGAGTCCTTTAGCGGCACGGACTCTTATAAAGTGTGATAAATGGAAGGAAATATGTGTTTCTACAACACCATCTCGCCATATTACCCTCATAGGCTCTACTTCATCATGAGACACGCTTCGATGGAACTGATACCCACTTTGCACGCAAAACTATAGGAGATTAACTTCAAATTATATGGGATGCTCGCGGACCCTCATTAAACCTGTTTTTCCATCATGAAGGTAATAAGCTTTGGTGGTTCCGTCTGTCCTTTGAATTTATTTTTATGACGAAAATAAACCCGGAACATTTCACTTATCCGATTTTCAGGTAATGTTCATTTCAAAATTCTGGTACCTTCAATTGCTGCTGGTGCAATTATCGGGAAAGGAGGTGAAGCAATAACAGAAATCCAAAACCAAACTTCAGCCAAAGTTAAAATGTCGAAGGCGAATGCCTTTTATCCTGGTACGTCCATATTCCCTGGTTTAATAATCTGCTTTGCGTTTAGGAACAACTGAACGAGTTTGTTTAATTGTGGGAACTATTGAAAGCGTATTACGTGTTTTCCAGTATATTTCTGAGAAAATCTACGAAAAACCAGAGTCTGTCCCTAAGATTGGTTGTGAAGGCCGAGTACTTACTGAGAGACATAAACAAGTAGTTATGAGGTTTTATTAATCATAAATAAATTGGTCTTTTACTTTAATTAAGCATGTTGAAACATACAGATTCTAGTTTTCGGGAATAAAGCGTAAATCCGCTCCCTGTTTTTTTTTTCAAACTGGATTGTTTTATGTTTATTTAATAATATAATATAAAGTTTTAAGTTGTAGCTAACTGGTGCATCTGACCTGTTAAACGTGTGTGGTTCCCAGCGTCGATATGCATTCCATGTTTTCCCTTGTAATCATTCATCTTTTTGGCGTAGCTTATTCACTTGAGTCGTACTCATATTTTATTGTGAAACTATGTTCGCATGAAACTAAAAATAAACACCTTGCTCTGATCATTACCATCCTGTTCACTACTGTGAACTGGCAGGTGTATTCATGTACAAATTGATCTCTTACACAGGAGTTCAAAGTAAATTGTGATGATTGGTTTCGAACCAGGCTATGTTAGGCTGTTAAATGTGGATTAAAAAGCTTGAATGTTCGATCGTAAGGTAAAATTCTATTTCATCTTTATACGTTCGAGCAGAAATCGTGATATGAACGTTTTCGCTTATACCCAAGCACATATACTTCAACTCATTCGCCCATTTGTTGATATGATAATAAACTATATTTATCCTTTTCATCAGGCATTCAAATAAGAAATGTAATCGTGACCGCTTGTTATATCTCTCGGTTGCTCATTCCGAAGGTGTAACGGACTTCAAATATGGAAGTTAGTAGTTGAATACTGCACTCTTTGACCACTAAGCAACTACTCATGTTAGTGCCATTTGTTAGTTTGGACCTTCCATATAATATGTCAACTTTAATCTGCAGTCAGTTTCATACGTAATGGTAAATGGTCTCATAAATGGTAAATTATTTAACCAGTTAATTTAGGTTGATTAAGTTTCATCTGACTTATCACCGTCCAATTTCTCAAACCAGAAAAATATCAAGTTCATCCATATTGTTCAATAGATTTTATCAACTATCTTTTGACTAGTATTAGCACTCATTCCTGCTCTCCTTATCTTGTTATTTTTTGTTATTATTGGGCTACCTAGGCTTTAAATTGTACTACATTTACTAATAACGATTGGTTTTATTTTAGGTCAAGATTTTGGTCCCCAACAGCACAGCTGGAATGATAATCGGAAAAGGTGGCAGCTTTATCAAGGAGTTGAAGGATATTACTGGAGTATTTATTCAAGTATCTCAAAAGTCGAAGGAGCTTAACTTGGCTGAAAGATGCGTTACTGTCGCAGGTAAGGTTATTGTTATTATTATGCGATAGGTAATATGTTGAAAGCAATCATCATAGTATGTAACCCTTTCAGGTTCATTTCTGTGTATTATTTGTAGTCAGTTCCTTAAATTTAGCAATATGTATGTCACTAAAAAACTTCACACCAAGTTTTTGATTATCATTAGTACTTCTACTACCGCTACTACTATGTGATTTGAATTGACAATTCGATCTCTGTGTCCTAATACGATGTGGCAACTTTAACTGATGCACGTACGTACGAAGTTCTACATTGTAGCTGACTGATTGAGTCACCAATTTTCCACACACGTAGCATCGTATCAAATAAATACATCTAAAGCATAGGAAACCAAAGTATCACCGTATCACATAGATAACAATACATCAAGGCAAGCATTATTTTAATATTGACATAAAAGATTGCCAATCCTTGGTTCCAACTTCTACTAACTTAAGTAGTGACCAGTAAGCCTACGTCCTTGTCAAATCACTAAACTTGTAGTTAGAATTGTAGCAGTCAGGAGTGTAGTAGAAACTGGTTTACTAGCTCTGAATGAATGTTTTGGGTGGTATTTCTCAATCATTCGGCTCTTTTTACCAACAACCCTTCCTGTAGCTGATACATTGACGTAGTGGTCATGAGTCGGTGGAGCTATATTGGTTAGAACACGTTCTTTAGGGTTCGACAATGACAGACATGTTGGTTGGAGAGGGTTAAATATAAAAGCTGATTACTGCTGACTGTACTAGAATGTGGCATCAGTAAAGTGCACTCCTCAGATAACCATCATCTACAGCAATACGACCTTCCCATAATTGGAAGGAGGTAGGAAAGATTGACTCTAAAATCCTTACACCGTACCTTGCCCCACAGATCTCTATCATAGTCATTAAAGCCTTTCAGGTACGCTGCCAACACATAAAAAATTGATCTCAAGCTTGTATGTGACTGGCTTCAAGTAGTTATCCCTTAAGCTCTACGGTGGTGCCCTCAGGTATTCAGTCAGTTCAGTTAGTCACGTACAACGTAAAACTTCGTACGTAAGTACATCAGTTCATGTTGCCATACCACATTAACACAGATGCAATTGCCAATTCAGAAGAATCCAGAAGATTAGGATTTGAGAGAACGCAAAGAGTGGATGCAACTGCGCCATTGCAAACGATTTTGAGCCATGTCATTTAAGGTCTCTAACAATTGGTAACTTACATCTAGCGGACCCCAACCAGGTAGCCTACATCTGCCAGCATGACTCAGTCCACTTGTCAGTGAGTTCATGGATTTCTGCCATGTTTTGGTCTAACCGCACCTAACTTTCTTCCAACTTACTCCTACACCACAAAACATTTCTCATCGAGGCAGTGGGTGGTTGCGCATTCGTTACACACGTCCTAACCACCTTAACTGATGGAGATTCACTACTTCATCAATTGATATGCCCACCTTACCTAGTGCCTTTATCCTAACAATAGTATTGCTTACTCGGTTGTCCCAGGAGCAATGCTTCGAAGACACCTATGATCTAATACCGGTAACCTATGAATATCTTTTACTCTCACTGGCCATGTTTCGCATCCATATAGTAGAACGGAGCGAATCACTGCGCAGTACACTCGTCCTTTAGTCAGCAAACGGGTATCTCGCCTACGCTATAAGCGATGTAAATTAGCAAAAGCCTGTCGAGCCTGCTGTATTCGTGCTGAGACTTCGTCAGTCACCAAACGATCAGCACTGGTGAGGCTCCCGAGATAAGTGAAGCGGTCTACACGTTCGACTACTTCATTCCGTATCACTAGTTCAGGTGCCGATACAACCCAATCTCGAAGCAACATTTTGCATTTCGAGTGTGAGAACCGCATCCCGAACATGCTTGCATTGTTGCTTAGGGTAGTTAGAAGACTGCATTTTGTCAGCGTCTTCACCGAATAGGACTCTGTCGTCAGCATATTCTAAGTCAGCGAGCGAATCTCCTGGTAGAAGGTCAATTCCTGAAAAGTTAGGTGGTGAAATAGTCGTCACTAACAGCATGTCAATGCCAAAGTCAAAGAAGAATGGGGAAAATGCATTCCGATGACAATTTGCCATAAGCTCTCACTCGACCAGTAGTGTTCGAGTAGACAGTTTGTGTAAGGTTAATGTACTGCTTTGTACATCTTTTAATGACAGACGTTGCCACAGAACCTCACGATCAACATAGTCAAATGGCTCCTTAAAGTCGCAAAATACCAATACTGACTGACTGACCGAGCACGCAAGGTTATAGTTTAAGAACAGCTATAAAAACTTTTTACCAATTTCAAAAGTGCTATTCACCGATATTCACCTTTTATGATATAAAAATGACTAAAAATAAGAATGGAATCTTCGAGTAAACTAGACCGAATTATTCAAAAAGCCAATGGATTTCGGTGGTGCTTGCTAAACTGCCAAATGTCCAGAAATTCATCTTTGATTCCAAACAATAAGAAACGAACGCGACCCAAACGTAAATTGAAAGGTCTACGAAATAATTGTGAATAGTAGTGGATGGCAAAAGCAAAACTGATAAAATATTATCCGGTAATAAATAGTAGAAAACAACTTTTAAGACTTATCAGAAGAACAGGCATTAAAAGGTCAATTGTTGGTTGAAGCTGTTTCGGAGATTGCAACCGTCGGTGATCCCTAGCTATATTCTAATTCTTAGTGAAATTAAAAAGTAGGTAACTGATAAAAATAATAGTGTTCTAACCTCAGGCATTCTTAGCCTAATAGCAAAAACAATTCTAGAAACTAATAGACATGTATGAATTATAGTGCTTATGACTGAAGGTATTTTAATACTGTTAATCTAGTTTAAACGGTGAAATAACTTGAAAAACTAGTTATCTTTCTTGATTTTGGTTTTTAACCACATTCCAACTGGGTTTTGCAGAGTGATGTGACCTAAAAAAGGTTGTTACAATGAATGTGTCTTTACTGGAGGTACGATCGCCCCATCCGAATAACAAATGCACCTGGTTAATAGCTGCCATTAGGCTCCTATATTGAGCTATTAAACGTAATTTTTGAGTTCGGCTCACTATTACTACCTGTATGTCTGTTTGGTAAAAAATATATCATGATTCAAACACGATTTACTGTCTGGGATATGAGTTCTTAAAGCATCGATTTTCATAGCTCGTAAAGCCTTGTTTTAGGTTTTACTCGATAACCGATGATGTACATTTATAACGTTGGTATCCTGGATCGCGTTTGGATGCATTCACAGATACGAAACTATCATCCATCTACCGATAAATGGTTGCTATTATATTCAGTCATTCTGCTTGCTTAAAATGAGGACGTTTTCATGTTTCACCGTCATTTTGGTTCAGGTCACCAAGTAGATTAATAAGTTTATCAAATGTCATTGATGTTCGATATTATGATCATTTACTTCAGTATTTACCAGTCTTTCAGTTCAGTCAAGCATTTGAACGCCTACAATAGCTCGGAGATTTCCTGGTGATTACTCGCGACAGTGTGAGGAATTTCAGTGGCCATTATATTTCCTGCGAGATATAAGATAGGGCTTGCCAGTAATCAAATTTTGTTCTTCTACATGAAGTCGCTTTTTGTTGACACAGTCACTTCTAGCTAATTTTTACATTTTATCCTATGTATTGATCTCTTCTCTATCTTATTAAGTATTACAGTGTAGACCGCTTCACATATCTCGGGAGTCTCATTAGTGCCGGTGGCCTGGTGACTGACGAAATCTCTGCACGGATACAGAAGGCTCGATTGGCTTTTGCCAACCTGCGTCACTTATGGCGTAGGCGAGATATCCGTCTGCTGACTAAAGGACGAGTGTACTGCGCAGTGGTTCGCTCCGTCTTACTTTATGGCTGTGAAACATGGCCAATGAGAGTAGAAGATACTCGTCGGTTATTGGTTTTCGATCATAGATGTCTTCGAAGCATTGCTCGTATATCGTGGGACAACCGAGTGAGCAGCGCTGTTATTAGGAATCGGGTGCTAGGTAAGAATGGCAGATTGATAGATGAAGTGGTGAAACTTCATCAGTTGAGGTGGTTGGGACACGTGTTGCGTATGGCTAACCAGCGACTCCCTCGTCGAGCTTTGTTTTGTAGTGTAGGAGTAGGTTGGAAGAAAGCTAGGGGCGGCCAGATCAAAACATGGCAGAAATCCATGAAGTCATTGACTAGTGGACTTAGCCATGTCGGTAATTGTCGACTACCTGGTTGGGGTCCGCGAGATGATAATAATCGATGGCTAGAGACCTTGAATGACATGGCTCAAAATCGTTCGCAATGGCGCCAGTGCATTTATTCTTTGTGTTCTCTCAAATCCTAATCTTCTGGATTCTTCAACACCTCTAGTTGTTACTTTCTAAACTTATCTCATTTAATCATACTCATGAATAATATCTTCTAATCCTAACCTCTCCGATTACTTCTAATACCTTTACTACCTCTTCTACTATTGGATTTGAATTGACAATTATATCTCTGTGTGATTGTATGGCGACATGAACTGATGTACTTACGTACGAAGTTCTACGTTGCATCTGACTGACTGACTGACTGACAGTCAAAATCGTTTCTATAGTGCTTTGAGATTTGGGTTACGTATTCTGTATTTATTTGGTTCCAAAATATGGAATATATTTGTAGAATGTCTGAAAATAAATTTGGTTAAAATGTTCATACTAATATGATTTCTGAATGTTAATATTGACTAATTTTGTCCGAATTTATCCTCAGGTGAACTCTCACAGACACGTGACGCTATTGCTCTGATTTTAAACAAAGATTGCTGAGGATCCTCAGTCATCCAGTTGTCCAAATA